CCCCGTCCCTGGCTCAGCCCGGGCTGTGAGGCTGTGCCCCCGTCCCTGGCTCAGCCCGGGGTGTGAGGCTGCGCGCCCCTGTCCCTGGCTCAGCCCGGGGTGTGAGGCAGCGCGCCCCCGTCCCTGGCTCAGCCCGGGTGTGAGGCAGCGCGCCCCCGTCCCTGGCTCAGCCCGGGGTGTGAGGCTGCGCGCCCCCGTCCCTGGCTCAGCCCGGGGTGTGAGGCAGCGCGTCCCCGTCCCTGGCTCAGCCCGGGCTGTGAGGCTGCGCGCCCCCGTCCCTGGCTCAGCCCGGGCTGTGAGGCTGTGCGCCCGTCCCTGGCTCAGCCCCGGGGTGTGAGGCAGCGCGCCCCCGTCCCTGGCTCAGCCCGGGCTGTGAGGCTGTGCGCCCGTCCCTGGCTCAGCCCCGGGGTGTGAGGCTGTGCGCCCGTCCCTGGCTCAGCCCCGGGGTGTGAGGCTGCGCGCCCCCGTCCCTGGCTCAGCCCGGGTGTGAGGCTGCGCGCCCCCGTCCCTGGCTCAGCCCGGGTGTGAGGCAGCGCGCCCCCGTCCCTGGCTCAGCCCCGGGCTGTGAGGCTGCGCGCCCCTGTCCCTGGCTAAGCCCGGGGTGTGAGGCAGCGCGCCCCCGTCCCTGGCTCAGCCCGGGTGTGAGGCAGCGCGCCCCCGTCCCTGGCTCAGCCCGGGGTGTGAGGCAGCGCGCCCCCGTCCCTGGCTCAGCCCGGGTGTGAGGCTGCGCGCCCCCGTCCCTGGCTCAGCCCAGCCCGGGGTGTGAGGCTGTGCGCCCCCGTCCCTGGCTCAGCCCGGGTGTGAGGCAGCGCGCCCCCGTCCCTGGCTCAGCCCGGGGTGTGAGGCAGCGCGCCCCCGTCCCTGGCTAAGCCCGGGGTGTGAGGCAGCGCCCCCGTCCCTGGCTCAGCCCGGGTGTGAGGCTGCGCGTCCCCGTCCCTGGCTCAGCCCGGGGTGTGAGGCTGCGCGCCCCTGTCCCTGGCTCAGCCCGGGGTGTGAGGCTGCGCGTCCCCGTCCCTGGCTCAGCCCCGGGGTGTGAGGCAGCGCGCCCCCGTCCTTGCCTCAGCCCGGGGTGAGAGGCAGCGCGCCCCTGGATGCAGGGGGGGTTGGGGGGGTTGGGGGCGGGGGTGGTGGGGGTGAGGAGGGACGGGCCGCAGCCACCTCGCAGGCTGCCTGCTGGCTCCCTTTACCGCTGCCCTGGGGCCTCCCCGGTTACCCAGAGGGGCTGAAAACCAAGGCCTGCGGAGAGCCTGCTCTCGAGCATTCCTAGCAGCCTTATTTGTAGCTGCCAGACTTGGGGTGACATCAAGACGCCCTTCCACAGGTGCCCAGGGAGCTGCGCACACCTGAGGTCCTGTGCCACGTCACCAGAGCCTGGAGGCTGCCTGCTGCGGGATGCCACGAACACCGCAGAGGGGGAGGGCGCTCGTGGTGCACACCTGCCACCCTAGTGTTCGGGAGGCCACGATCTGAACATCATGGCTTGAAGCTAGCAGTTTGAAGGTGGCAGAATCCATGAGACTCATTTCCAGTTAGCCACCAAAAGCCAGCAGTGACACTGTGGCTTAGGTGGTAGAGAGCTAGCCTTGAGCAAAGCAAATGCTCAGGGACAGTGACCAGGCCCTGAGTTCAAGGCCCAGGACCGGTACACACATACACAAACCACCCACTCAAAAAAAACTCCAAAAGGTGCTGGGAATGTGGCTCAGTGTTAGACTGCGTGCCTAGCATACCTGAAGCCCTGGGCTGCGTTCCTCAGTATCCCATACACAGAAAAGGCTGCAAGTAGTGCTGTGGCTCAAGTGGTAGAGAGCTAGCCTTGAGAAAAAGGAGCTCAGGGACAGCACCCAGGGCCTGGGTTCAAGCCCAAGACTGGAACAAAACAAGCAAAACCAAAAAAACCCGGAAAGCTAGACAGGTGGAGAGGTTGAACCCCAAAGGGTATTTGTGCTGACGAAGCTGATGTTATTTTTCAGATTGTTGATTAAAATTACTTCCTGCTGTTGAGGGTTGGAGCCAGATCATTTTTATGGTAAAATGTTCTCTACCATGCCGGATTCCCAGTACATTTTCTTCTGTGCTGGTCCTGGGGCTTGTACTCAAGGCCTGTGTGCTGTCCCTGAGCTTTTTTGTTCAAGGTTAGCACTCTACCACCTAAGCCTGGTTCCACTTCTGGCTTTTTTTGGTGGTAAATTAGAGATGAGGCTCTAATAGGCTTTCCTGCCTTGGCTGGCTTTGAACTGCAATCCTCAGACTTCATGCTCCTGAATAGGATTACAGGTGTGAGCCACTGGCACCTGGCTCCTTAGTGACCCAGTGCAAAGCTGCTATTTTTTTTTTTTTTTGGTTGTGGGGTTTGGTTGTGGGCGCTATTCCTGAGCTTTTTAGCTCAAGGCGAGGTCTCTACCACTTGAGCCACAGCACCAATTTTGGTTTTCTGATGGTTAATTGGCGCTAAGAGTCTCATGGACTTTCCTGCCAGGGCTGGCTTTGATATGCACTCCTCAGATCTCAGCCTCCTGAGCAGCTGGGATGACAGGTGTGAGCACCAGTGCCCGGCTGGAGCCACCATTCTTATCTGTAGGGAGCTGTTAAGGGGCGGGTGGGTGGATATTCTGAAGACGCTGGGGAGGCTGCCAGTGGCGGCGTGGCCCTGTATCCTCAGTGTGCATCTGGTGAGTGCATTGAGAGGAAGACTCACTAACTTAGCACCAAGATCCCGATCAGAGGCCCAGAGAGAAGGGGCCGAGCAAGGCTAGAGACGAAGGCAAAGGGGCTTCAAGGTGGAGCAGGTGGGAAGGGCAGCCCGGGCTGATCCGGCTGTCGCTAGCATTGTGACACTTCTCAGCCCCACGTTTACAGAGACTGGCGTGTCTGGGAGAGGACCAGCTCAGCGTCCCATCATGGGTTCCAGTGGGAGGAAACTCCGCCGTGTCAAGGGCTGGCCACTGAAGACTGCCGGCTTGTGTTGGGGCCTGGTTGAGGACGGTGCCTGTTTCCCTTGCAGTCTGGCTTGGTTTTCCTGGGACAGGATATCTGGGTTACAGCCGTGTTGAGGGGCCTTGGGGTTTTTCTCGGTGTCGTGTGCTGGCGCCTGTTGGGTTCTGGGCTAGCCAGCGGGGCTGGTGGGACATCTGCCTCTCATCGTAGCACGTGGCTGTCTTGGACTTGCTCCCTGCTTGGTGGTAACAGGGTAGGCAGGTGAACTGCTGGCAGCTTCCCCAAGCATGGCAATCAGGGTCAGGCTACAGGCTCCTGGTGGCAATAGTCTCAGGCAGGGGTGTGGGAGGCCAGGAGCGCTAGGGTGTTGGACAGAAGCAATGCTGGGCACGCTAATCTCAGGAAAATGTGTAATGTTTTGTCACATCTCAGATTAGTAGATAAACACGGCCCCAGAGATGTTCCTTTCTTCACCGTGTATAAATGGTGACACAGCCCTGGAGTTTATTTGATCTGCAGCAAAGGGGTTGTGCCTGCAGAAGAGAGGACTAGGGTTTGGGGCTGTCAAGAACTAAACCCCTCACCTGGAATGGCTACTGGGCACAAGGATGTGGACCGTGTGGCGCACTGGCGTAACTGCCAGATCCATGGTTGTGCTGTCCTTACTAGGATTCCCTTGA